AGACCCTCCCCCATCCCCCAGGCCCCTCCTCCTCCTCCTCCTCCTCCCCTCCTCCATTACCATAAAAATTTCAAAAAATAAAAATAAGAATCCAGCAGGCTTATCGATATTTGATAGAACTCTTCGGCTTTCTACGGGTTCCTTCTTAGGGAACTTAATACAGTCACAAACAGATCAAAAGACGAGGGGGAGGGGGGAGAGCGAGGGGAAAACAAATCTAACACAAAGCAAAGTGTGTGCGTGTGTATCGAGGGGGAGGTCTTGCCTCGTGCATTAAAAAGAAAAGTTTGCAATACACACAAAGGTTCCCAACAGCTACTTCACACATTCACAGATAGCTTTTTAGAAATTCTTTTTAAAGTACTGGGGGGAAAAATCCACATTATGTTTTCTCCCTTTCCAATTTGGTTTAATACAGCAGACAAGGAATCTCTTATATGCAAGCAGCTGCCATCTGGGGCCCACTCCCCCCTCCTCAAATGCAGCAGCACCCATATTACTAGAGGAGAAATGTTCTGAGGACATGCTTGGGGTCTCCCCTTTCTTTTTCAGGAATTGAGGCCTAACTTATTTTACAGCCATCAACAACTTGCCCAAGATACTCCACAATAAGGTGGCAAATTAGCAGATTCATTAATATTACCTGCTGCTCCTGGTTGCCACAAAAACATTACACACACACCTATATAGAATATGGTTTTACACAGATAAACATACAGATTTTACACATGTAATATATACCTACAGGAACAAGTGATTAAAGAAAACACCATCTAAACAGGTAAGTATAAGATCCATATTCAACTCAGCATAAACAATGGTTTGCTTTATTTAAGGCCCAGGGAATGGTTTCACTCAGAATGTGAAGCATTATTCCAAACTTGTAAAGAACTTTGGGGCTATTTGCCATTTTTCTCCAAAACAAAAAACAGAGGTTTGTGCCCATTCAGTTGGAAAACAGCAACAACATACATACAAAACTGAGACAGTTGTTTTATACATATATACAGTCTCAGAAGAAATAGTTTTGCCTTTGGACTAAGTTCTCTGCTCCCTCCAGAGTTCCAAAGACCTAGTGATTGCACTTAAACTCAGATATTTTAAAAGTAGGCCCAGATTGCTGTCACACAAACTTCCCAAGCAAATTGCTGAAGGGCAAAGAGGGAGGGGGAGTGTCTCCCTCTTGAATAAAACCAAGAAGCTGAAATAAGTCAATCAATAAATTAATAAAGCTGGCATTTAATCCCACTCTTTGCATAATTTCGCCCATTGCCCAGACCTTCCCCGGTTTCCTTTGTGCAGAAGATCTAATAATAAGAGTGGCATTCATGGGGTTTGGTGCATCGAACCTGCTGTAGAAATATTAGAGTTACAAAAGGGATGGAGGTTTGTGAGGGGGAGGGAGAATCTGTAAATGGAGGCTGGAGAAGAATAACCCATTAAAGCAGTGATACCCATACTGTCTGTTCCAGTTTTAAAAGTTTCTCACTTTCATTACCGTGTGCTGTTTTTGGGTTTTTAAGCAAAGGAGGGCCATATACGGGTAAACTAGAAACTATGGTGGGTGGCAGTGGGATGAAAGAGAAAGAATGGCAAACTGGGATTTAAAAGGGGAGATTATACTGTAGTCATGCACATCAAACTGGCATGTGCTTTCCTCTCTGTAGTGAGATGGAGTGGAAGTGCTGAAGAAAGAACATTAAAAACTCTTTAGAAAAAGCGCCTGCAAAAATGGGACAACCCAGAATACAATCATCCTCCCGAACATCTTCTAGACTCTGTCATCTCATCCATACTGTCTTGTTTTTTGCAAACTAAATAATAATAGCCAACACACCAACTTTTGGTGCCGGGCGAGGCATAATAAAACTTCCCATAAACAGAGGGAGGAGAAGAGTGTGTGTGTGTGTGTGTGTGTGTGTGTGTGTGTGTGTGTATACCTATGAGTGAATTCTGGGTCCCTTTCATAAAGTGGACAAACTACTGCAATTGAAAGACACATCCCTATGCTTTGCAGGAAATTAAGACATCATTTTCCAACGAAACTGGGTTTCTTTTTTAACGACCATTAACTTCACGAGGCAAGAAAAAGCGGGGAGGACAGCTCCCTTTTGCTTTAGATTATTACCCCCAAAAGCTGAACTCCCCAGCAGGTCTAAAGGAAATCTCAATACAGTAAAAGCTTGTTGCCTTTCTCCCCCAGCCCCAAAAGAAGAGGAGTTAAGTAGACCTCTTTCGACCCCCCCCCCTTTTTGCTTCAGCTAACTTCCCGCCCCATGAAGTTTAATGCCACTCCCGGGGGGGGGGGGGGAGAAAGAGAGAAAGAAAGGACAAGTGTGCGTGCTGTGGGGGAAGAATTATAATTAAAAAAACACACCTAAATAACAACAAACAGAGAGAGAGAGAGAAACAGTAATTACTAAGTAAGGGCAGAGCCGAGGAAAGTAACAAAGTTAAATCTATAGACCCGCAGAAAGAGAAGAAAGACTCAGACCTAAGTCAGATCTGCCCCCTCCGAAAATAAAATAGTTCCGTGGAGGGGGAGGAGTCAAAGATGAACCCCCCAAATTAAAAGCAGAGGCCCTCCCCCAGTTGCTTAACCCACCCCTCTTCCCCAGGCTTACCTGCTCAGCTTTGTGGTGGGGGAGGGTTACATCCACAAGTATGGCTGAAGATTCCCGGGGCGCAGCCGGGGTGGGCGCCCCGGTCGCCCCTCCTGCCTTCCTATTGTTCTCCCGGCGGCGACGGAGACGGTGGAGGCAGCTTTAACAATGTCCAAGCAAACGGAAATGGCTACAATGTAGCAAAACGAGGGAGGGAGGCTTTTTTTAAAAAGGAAAGGAAAAGGAAAAAAGCGAGAGTGGGAAAATAAATTAGAGAGGACGGGGAAAAGGCGCTCTCCCGAACGTTCGGTCTGCCTGTGCCTCTCGGGCTGGTCGTTCGGCCGCCCCGACGTTCGATCGAATGTTTGTCCCAACGTTCGATCGGGTGTTTTGCCCCCAGCCAGGAGCTTTTGATGTGGCCTCTTCAACGTTCCATCCGCGCTTGGAAGATAAAAGTGCTTCTGATCCTCCGGCTGCGGACCCCGCTTAGCGCTTGCTTCGCTGGCTCATGATAGCTGAGCTTCTTTCTCTCTGCGTTTTTCACCCCCCTGCTCGCTGGGGCAGCGGACGGGCGCCCCCTTCTCCTTCGCCGCCTTCTCCTCCTCCTTTGCTTCCACACATCCACACACACATGCACACACACACAGACACACGCATCAAGACCTTCCCCCTCCTTCTCTGGCGTATCCTTCCGCCGCAGCAGCCACCATCACTACCAGCTGCACAAGCCCAAAAAAAGGGGGGGGGGGGGGAGGAGGCGGGGGGGGAGGACGCTGATTTTGTCCATAAGACTCTTTTCCTTTCCGCGCTCCCAAGTAGTTGGGAAAAAATGGGAAGCCTTGATTCTTCCCAATGGGATGTTTTTTTCCTCATTTCACTTAACAACCAACCGACAAAAAAACTCTGTACGCTGAAATATTTGGAGAAAAGCGGAAAAGAAGGATGGGGGATGCTGAGTGGCTGTTGCCTAGATCTACTAGATCTTGCCTGCAAAACTCCAGGCAAACTTTAGATGGGAGCAGAGAGATTCCAAACCCCCCACCCCGGCACTTTGCATCCCTCTCCTGGTAATCTAGGTTTTTTGCAACCCAGACCCAATAGCCAGGTTGCTTTCATAGTTTTGTAAAGAGTCAAGGAATTACAGTCACCACTCCCAATTCTCAGGGTGTGGAAGAGAGAGGAAAGCAATGGCTAAATGATAGTCCCCAGTGGTTTTGTAGGGATCCAATAATATTAAGACCCACCCCAAATACTTATATGTTCACTCCTCTAACCTGAGAGAATGACTAGTTTTGCACAACATGTTGGGATAAATGGGTTACTAGTTTGTGGATGGATAGGTTGTAGGAACCCAGCCATTATTTTAACTTGTGTGAACCACAGCATCATGTTATGCCATCATTTGGTTCTATTAGGGGGCACAGCATGTCATATGAACCCATTATTCCACATAACCACTGTCCCATGTCTAGAGCACATCTTCTTGCTTCCCCCCAACTCACTCACCTCTTTTTATAAGAGAAGACCTCATGGCACAGCTGTCCAATTCAATTAAAATCCCATGCAAAACAGATTCGTGATCCAGCAAGTATGCAGTCCACAGCATCTGTCCCTCCCCAGTCAAAAATATGGAACCATCTTAAGTTTGAGGAATTGACTGATCTTAAGAAGTGGGCTTTAGCCATCTTATAGGTCCTTGTGTGAGCTCTGAAGCTAAGCAGGATCGGACCTTATTCATTGTTGGAAAAGAGACTCCCAGAGCTGAGGGCTAGGCTGGGAAATTGCAGAAACATTCTGAAAGAAAGTGCTGGCAAACCATTTCCACACTGTTGCAAAGAAAACTGCCCAGATGTGAATCCACAGATCATCGGGAACCAAGCTCAACTTGCAGGAGATGTTAGGATATTTTTAAAACAACAGTAAGCAAATGTTCTCCCGCTCCCCCAAGTAATCAAACTGCCTTATTTTGAGAGATCTGATCATTATTGAGTGGACCCCACACCAATATATTGCAGAGGAAAACACACATCGATTGCCTAGGTAACACTCCCCTTTCTGCTGTAGGATCACACATTCCCATTCAAAAGCTTCTAGACAATGCCCATTTATATATTATGCTAAGTCATAATGGAGCTCATTTGGGCGAATCCACCCATGATGGTGTATGAACCATGGTTTATATCTTAGTGCATGGTGTGAAACCAAGTAATTGGAGTTGAGTCCATGAATCAGACACCTCCAACCTGTTGACTTCCAGAAATGGTCAGCTAAGAGCTAGTGTGCTAGCTGGAGATTGGGACAATTACAAACCATGTAGGGCACAAGGTTGGGGAAGACTGCAATAAAACCATGAGTAAACAAACAGTAGCTTTGCACAATGTGTGAAGCCATTTGTGGTGTCCAGTTTTTTAGACTGGTACTGTTTTATCAAAGATGGAGCCCAGGGTCATCTGCAAGGGGGGGGGGGTTCAAAAACAACAAGATGGTGTCAGCAATTGCATGATTGAAGCCCTGCCCAAAGCTGCCATCTTGATAGTTTTGAAGCCCCTCCCCTCCCACCAGCCTCCCTGGAGTTGCCCAAGCCTAGAAAACAGCCCACAGATACCCAGTACTAATCATAATGACATGTGATGTCACTGTATGATTTGCAGAATGACATCATGAGGGACATCACACCCAGTACTTCCTAGCTGTAGTCTACTATGCCCCAAATCAGTGTTTCTCAACCTTGGAAACTTTAAGATGTGTGGACTTCAACTCCCAGAATTCTGGGATGGCTGGCTGGGGAATTCTGGGAGTTGAAGTCCACACATCTTAAAATTCTAAGGTTGAGAAATACAGCCCCAAATAATACCTCTGGAGGCCTAGTGAGATGAAAGGAGAATGTAAGGATTTGATTCTGAGTCCATTAAATGACTTCTTCAATGACTTGAGAATGCTCACCAAGTGAGGATAAAGTCCTGTTGGCTGTTCTCAGCAGTAATAGTAATCTGCTTTGTAACCAACACCTTAAGTTCAGAGGTTCAGCCTTCCTCTATTTTTAATCCTCACACCTTGTTCCTAAAAAATAGTCTGTGTCTGACAATGGATGCTCTCTTTAGTTAAGAAGGCATAAGAAGATCTAAGCTCAGTCAGAGCAAAGGCTCAAGTAATGGAGAAGTCTCATTTTTAAAAACTGCCAGATGGATCCTCCATGTTGCACTAAGTTGCCCACTATCCCTTGGTGGCTGGTCCACAGCATCTCACTGTCAAAGCTCAGCAGTCTCTAAACCAGGGTTTCTCAATCTTGGCAACTTGAAGATGTGTGGACTTCAACTCCCAGGTTAAAAAAACAAACTCATCAAATCTGGAGTGTTTTACCTCGTAGCAAGGAGTTCCACAAGCTGACAACCCCTAGCCTTAGAGACTACTGAGGTGGTAGGTAAATTGCACAAATAAATAAAAATATACAAGGAAAAAGATTACCACTTGAGGTGTGGTTGTGACCTTTCTGGAGCCCCTACAAAGTTTTTTGTTTAAAAAAGCTTTAAACTCTATTGATCTGATAGACCCTAATTTGAATATTTCCAGTCTATGATTATAAGGTTTTTATTTTAACATATGTATAACATCTTTCAAAACTAGGTTTTCCCAAGGTGGTTTTATCTAAATGCAGTTGCTTCAACTTGAAGATGATGCACAGTTTTTCATTTCTCCTTATTTCATTTTTGTGCTTTATTTCTTTATTAAAACTACTGGAGAAAGTGACGCTTTTTTTATCTTGAGTTGGTCAAATCAAGATTGTGCATGAATAAAGATTTTTGAATGTTCTGTTATATACTGTATAATGTTCTATCCTATAGTCAACACTTGCTTTGCTATGCTTAACGCTATTTTTCATGGCATAACTTTCTCTGACCAAACTATAGTTCTTTAAAATGCACACATTTGCATATTTTTAAATTATTATTATTATTATTAGTGCGTGGAAGCAACACGCACATGTTGAAAACAGATCGATGAAAAGGTAGGGTGGGAGGAGCTCCTCTGAAGTGGGTGGAACTGGGAGGAGCCACGGCGGGAGGTGGAGGAATACGAACTATTTTTCAGGGCGGAGTGACACAAAGAAAATTGTTACAGGGAACACGAGAACAGCAGCAGCAGCAGCAGCAGCAGCAGCGTGACGAAATGGGAGCACCGGAGAGATGGAATGATAAGGCCGCGGGGTAAGATCCAATGGAAGGGCACGATGCCGTGGAGTAGCAAGAAGATTGACCAATCAGAGCCAGCCTCCGTTCTCTTTCCTCTCCATCCCTCCATCTGACTGTCTGCCTAACCCTGCGAGCCCTTTTTCGCCCACTGAGCAAGGGGGAGGCCGTGCAGGCAGCTGCCGTGATCTTTTGTTTGACGGGTCTCGCCCGAGTTATATTTGTGAAATTTTTTGTTTAGCAATTTTGCTTATTCAAATAAGAATTGGGAGGCGAAATTGAAACGGAACAAATGTAATACAAGTGCTGGAATGAGAGTGATGTTTTTTAAAATAATAGCTTAAAACAGATGGTCATAATTTTGTTTTTATTTGGTTATTTTCTTGTTTAACATCTTGCTTACTAAAACAAGTAATAGAAGGAGGCATGAACAGTAAATAAATACGATTTATCTGTTTAGAACGGGGATTTTTAATACTTTAAAAATAAGGATTTAACAAGATTTTTAAAAACTAGATTCCTCAGGAAGTGTTTAAAGCACGTGTGCAAAAGCGAGTAACAGTGCAAATATTCAGAAGCAAGGTTCATTGAATTTAGTGGGGCCTTTGACTTTTAAAGAAGGGGCCATGGGGTTGCCCTATTAGAGTAAATCCCATTGAATTCAATCAGATTCTCCGGGTAGACCTGCGTATATTTATGCTGCTAATAACATTTATATAAAGTGTCTTTATAGAGCCATATGGTGTTTTTTTATAACCGGTAGTTCCTGGCATAATGTATTTTGTAATAGCTTGAACCACGGATACATTTCTGTCATTGGCTTGCATTCCAGTGCCTAGAATAGCATGTACAAAGGAAGGTATGATAGGCAATTAAAAAAAAATAATAATAGAGGATGGAGATAGCTCTGTTTTCTCTTTGCACTATTAAATCACATCTGCTGCCAGGATGGGACGGAATTAATCCCTCCCTTTAAGAATCCAGTTCCAAAATGCATTGTGACATGGTTTGGGGTTTGCATTTTTACGTACTTTTTCCAAAGTTATGAGCTGTTGTAAGTTTGTAAGATAGGCATCATGTTCCATGGAAGCAGTGGACGGGGCTTGACAACACCATCTCATGTGTGTTTACTCAGGAGTAAGGCCATCTGAGTCGAAGGGTTCTTATGGGCAAATAAGCATTTGAACCGCCACAGGCTTAAAAGTTCTAATTTTTACTCTTTTGCCCTACCCCTTCTTTTTTTATGAGGTTCTTAGTAGCAAACAAGGAATCAATCTGTCTGGCTTTTCTGGGCTGATTCATAGACCAGTGGTGGAGCGAAAAGAAAGAAAGAATGAAAGAAAAAAAAAAAGGAGGGGGAGAAATAGGATCGCTTTGGAGAAAAATAGAGAGGGGGAGGGGAAGCTAGGTTTGTTAAAGTTGTAGTAGCATTTCCCACCTGTCAG